TCTTTCCCGGGGTATTTGGCACAGGTTTCACAAACCGCAGTCACTGCTTAGTTGCAGGACTGATATGAGGGAGTGGAAATGTGGCCCCCAACTGCCTAACTCTCAATTCTCCAAATCCCCATAGTTTTCTTGAGGTATTTCCTTACTCATTAAGACTGTTTAGAGAAGAACCTCAGAAGTACTGCCCTGTCACAGCTCTGCTTTTATGCCTTCTATTAGGAAAAGTGGATAATAATATCAAGTGGAGAAAGTACAGAGCATTATGCACAGTCACTCTTGGAGGAGTGAACAACTCTCAAATCAGGTGAAATCAGATTACTCAGATAGCATTCCCTTGCAGAGCAAAGTGAGCATGGTTGTAAATCTTATTTCTCCCGAAGAATAATGAAGATAGTCCTGTCCTACCTGAGAATTGTTCAGAATGAAGAAAAAATATATTCAGGCAAGAAGATTGGAAAATTGATGCAAAGAACTAAATTAAAAAAGAAGAGGACCAACATAAAACTAATTTCTATAAAAATTTCAAAAGAGATTTTTTTTTCATAGCTTGTTGTTTACTCCTTCTTCCACATTGGTGAACACCACGTTCATTGTAGGAAAGACTCTTCTGCTGTGTATGGAGAAAAGACTCCAAAGGACTTTATGTGTTCTGTAAAATTGACTCTGAGCTTTCTTCTACTGCATTATTAGCATACACAGATGATTCCCTCTCAGAGTCCTGACTATCGTTCAACCCCTTTCATATCTGCAGTGAGAAATATCACAGAGCTCTGGAGATTCTGGGTGAAACTACAAAATATCCAATTCAACATGACTTATTTGCACAATGTGACCTTTAGAATTATATTGGCAAGACCTCTAAAACTAGAAGTGAACACAAGTGTGTATGAAGGTGGATAAGAACTCTAGGAAACAATGGATTGTATCTAACCAATAGGTATCTACAAACTCAGTAGTAATAGAAGATTTGAGAATTTTAATGGAGCTGCATATTTTAAGAGGTCCAAAGCAGCTTTTCGTCATCAGGTTTAAGCATACCAGAAAATATCTTACTGATGCCAGCCAGAAGAACAGCTTCTTGTTCCTTCATCTTGAATTCTAGCTTTGTGTCTCAGGAGCATGTCCCTGCCAAAAGAAGACCAAAGGACTTTACTTCTGTTTGTGCTGTTACCAATTCAGGCAAATACACTGGAAAAAGAGAGTAGTTGTTCTTCTAGGGATTCTGAGATCCCTTTGTCCTACCTCGTTGTCATCTTTTCAGAGTAACTTTGGAAAATGGGAACATTGCAAATTTATCACCTTCAAGGCATCAATCCAGTTGCAGTTGCTAATACTTTTTGTTCAACATTTTGAAAGTATGGAAAGGGAACAGGAGGCTTTTTCCTAAACAGCAACTTCAAAAATTTGAAGCTGATTACATGCAAAGCCAATTTCTTTCTGAAGGGTCATTCAAGAAGTTACCAGAGTCCTCTTTCATTAAAGCACACCATCGGTACTTACATTCCTAAAATTTGAAGGCAAAATCCTCTGAAGAACCTTTTGGTCTTTGCTTCATAACTTAGGATTTTAGAATACCAGTGTCTGGTTGTAATTAGCTACTCTGATTCATTCAAATTTACTTTGTCTTGGGTCACATGCTAGTAAGAAGAAAATGAGAAGATGCGGGTATGAAGGCAACTTAAGAAAATGAATTAAACTGACTACCAAAGCAAGTTCTTAGTCAAATTTCTGGAGTTAATTTTCTCCTTTGATGGGATACATCTGTTCTGTGTACTGTGAAGTTCAAAACCAGTATCAGGATGATCCCCAGTCCAGGGGAGTTATAGGAAATCTCACCTGGAAATCTCCATAATACTCAAGCAAGAAGATATTTCTAATCAGTTCATTAATGTGCATCAGTTTGTCATGTGCTCAGGGCAAATGCCAGAGAAAAGCATCAAAGCCGTAATTTTCTGGAAATAATACCAGTGTGTTATGCTATCTTCTTCCAAGAATGTTCAGGAACTTGTGACCAGTACACATGAAAAATGGAAGATAATGATCAAGAAATTTTATCATCTACTTTAGTCTACACAGTTTCAGGAGTGGATGGTGGATATGCTCTCTGTTTTCTATTTATTTACTTATTAAATTGATAGTACTAGTTGCTCTTTTCCCTTTTTCTCTGATGACCAAGAGCACTACAACTATTGGTTGGGAATCAGCAACCATAATCTTGACTACATCTTAGTTAACCTGACTTCATGTATCTTTTCCTTGACAATGAGAAATCCTTCTAATTTTTCATCTTGATGACAGCTTCTAGGTGAAAAGCTCTTGAATCTTTCTTTTCTCTGCTTCTGTTAAGACTCGAGAGAGAGTGACAGTGATTTTTCTGAAATCCTCCAAATTTGCCACTTGTCTTCTGTTTCTCATCTGTGTTAGTCATGGCATGATGGGTACTCATACTGGAGAAAGCTGAAATTAGATTCCCTTAAAATAATTTTATGTTCTCTGAATGGGTACCCGCTACTCTGTCAGCACTCACTACTTTGGCTAAAATTTCTCCAAGCATGGGCAAATCTTTCTTTTCTTGTGTGCAAATTCTAAATGAATGGAAAGAGAGAGGGAAATGATTGAAGGGTTTCAAGTTGATGACTGATTCATTGGTTTTAAAGTTTTTTTCTTTTTTTTTTTTCTTTCTCCTGCTTGGATATTGCTCTGCTGTTTTCTAACTTGCTTTTTAGTTGTCTTATATTCCCTCAGCTGTGGCAGTATTCCTGGAGCCATATGTGAGTGCACTACCTCAAAATGCCAGCAGTGGAAACTGGTAAGCAAGTGGGGAAAAAAAATCACCAGAGGAATCTCTGAAGCTTGGGACAAAGGCAGAAAACACATCAATACTGCACTAGCAGAGCAGCAGGTACCCTCACAGAGAAGATAAAATTACAGGTAAGGAAATAATTTACATTTCTGTTCTGAACTCATCCAAATGGCTTGTTACTCCCCATTCAAAATCCCCCCCAAAAATAAACACCATGACACTTGAAGAAGAAAAACGTAACATGTGTGATCAAGTTAGACTACCCAATTTCTGCAATAATATATTAAAAGATCAAAATCCATTATACCTATTAAAAACATTATACCTATTATACCATTAAAACCTCAGGCTAGTTTTAAAATAAGGCTGGTTTTTTGTATTGTTTTAGATTTTTTTTTAATTTTTAGAATATTAAACACAGAAAACTGCTTGTTGCAGTTGCAGAAAAGGTTTTCCTTTCCACTTAAGGACAACAGTAGGCTTTTTTTTAGGTACGTGAGGTCAGATAAAACAAAAAATGGGTTCTGTTCCCATCCCTTCTTCTCCATTTACTTTCTCACAGTTGGAAGAGTAGCAAGATGTTTTATTATGTGTCAGTTTTCTCATCTGTGAAAAGGAAAGAGGCTGTTTTTATCTCCCACTTGAGATAATTAGGTGAAATAAATGTTGTAAGAGAGAAGAAAATTATATTTATTTAATTAATTGTCTTGCAGTTGTTTATGCCGCCATGCTGCAGTCCCGCTATGGAGTTGCGATCACCACAAAAACCTCAAGAGGATATATCCTTGTCTGAATTGCCACAGTTATTATCTGTTACAGAAAGTAAAATAAGGTTTATGTTTAAATCTGTAAATGAAAAAAATTGTCAAAACAATTGTACTGTAAACCTAATTTCTCTGCTGAGTTAAAGGAACATTGAGAAAGTTTAGATATGTGCATTGTAAAGGCATTACCTTTTGGAAGAGAATAGTAATAAAGTGAAAGAGGAATAAATTAGATTTAGCCTTGGCATAACTCATATATCTTCATCAGATATGTACTATGATAATTGTCCCAGTGAGTTGTATCACTTAAGTTTATTTTGTAAACTATCAGGTTCAAGAAAATATAATTACAGAGCCATATTAATTTGTTTCATAGTATTAAATGTATATAGATTTTATTAAAACAAGTTATCAAAGTTATGAGTTTAATCTTGTAAGGTATGTTTCTAATGCTCTGCAGTATGACATTTAAATTAAAAAGCCTAAAGAAAAAAAAAGGGAAAATAATAATCTTTTTTATAAGCATTATTTAAAGAAATGTAGGTGATCTTTTGAGGTACTATGCAACCCTTTTTTGAAGGAATCATTTTCAGCAGGTCCAAAGGCTAACTCAAATATCTAGATAAGGAACTAGCTGTCTGAATTGAATATTATCTTTTGCTATGTGTCATCTGTTATTTTATGGTGTTTCCTGTAATCTGCTAGATATAGACATGACTGTGAGTAGAGCTCTCCTCAGAATGCATACATTTTTCAAATTTTGAACTTTTTGGGGGGGCTTGACATTTTTGTTTCTGTTTTTTTTTTTACTTTAAACATATGTGGGAAGAATGAATTCAAATACTTAATTTAGAAGGAAGCATATTCTGACTGTACGACAAGTCTATCCATGCACTTATTTTAAAAGAACTTTTCAACTACCGTTTTATCATAGTTAAAGATTGAAAAAAATTAGTGTTGAGTATCTGTTTGTATTGCTTTTTGGTGACAAAACAATGAGTTTGAATTGTAAACTTTTTTCTTTGGGGTTACTGTTATTGCTTGGGGATGTTTTTGAGACCATACTCTTTTTCTGATTCTGAAATATGTTTATTCCTGTTGTTTTGTCCTTTCCCTTGTACGTTAAAGAAAATTCCATCTATCTCAGTTTTATTTTCTGTAACTAATTTCGTAACAGTGTAGTACTTGACATGTGTTTGTTTCTTAGGCAAACGTGTAAAACTCCTCAAGTCCGAATGGAGAAGTAGAGAAAGGAGGTTTCTGCTGTGCCTGATGACAATTTTTGATTTTTCCACACACACAAAATATTCTGGCTCCACGTTGGAGCACTAGTTGTGATGAATCCTAGTCTTGGTCGGATTCTAAGGAAGGGCCAGAACGTTCGTTGAGGAATAAAGAGTCAAACCTCTCCAGAAAATGTGTTCCAGCCCTGGTTTATTACTCACAGAGCAGCAGGTGTGTACAAATACAGGTTTACACAGTATTAACAGGAACTGTACCTTACTCTTTCTAGTTGCTTAGTTTTCTGCAGATGCCTGGGAATCGTGGCTTATTTGGGCAGAGCTTCAGAAGGGTGGTTGGAAAGACCCCACGTTGCGCTCCTAAGCAGCCTCAGTGTATCAGTCAGATACTTCTGGGAGCCTTAAAACCTTTCTTCCCTCACTCCCCTTTCAAAGGTAGACCCAGTTGGTGAACTTAAGTTACTCACTGTCGTGGGAAAGCAACAGATGCTCTGGAGAAGAGAAGAGCAATTAGAAAGGAAGTATGTCTTGATACATTCAGTTTGGTGTCACTTTGTAGTTGAAAGCTTAGCATCTGGTACTGGATTACTTCAAATTCTGAAAAAGTTGGGGAAGGGGTATTTCCACTATATTACTAAGACATGTTATCTGTTTAACCTTAAAACCATGTTTAAGATGAACTCTGCTATTTTCAGGAATGTATGCCATGCTCTAAAGTATTCTTCCTTTAACTATTTTTCTAGTCCTAACTTTAAGATTATTTGGAGCAAATGAAAATCTAAATTTACACCTGAAATGTTTCCAGAGCCTTTTAATTGCAATTTTTAACATTAGTTGTCTAGGTCTTCACTTTAACAGTAAGTATCTCCT